AGGGGTGTCAAACTCAAAAGCTAACTTGGGCCAAATAAACAATGCTTAACTTTAGGTGGGCCGCGAAAAAAAAATCAATGTTCATAGAAACAAATATTTTTATTTTGAATAGCACATTGCAATAAACATATATAAAGTTAAATTATTTTTTGATACTTGACATCTCTTCTCTGCTACTATCTTTCCTAATTCGGGAGAAATTTTTTTGGCCGAGACTACTTTCAAAATTGACCCAACATGAGCGTTATTAATACGATTTCGGACAGGAGATTTATTTCCATTCATAACAGAAAATAATTGCTTGCACTGAAGAACTTCCAAACATGGAAATAATTTCATATGCGAATTTTCGAGTATTTTCAAACCTTGCCGGTAAATATTTGTAAAATTCAGGCATAACCACTTCAATGAATTTTGCCTTCAAATTTGAGTCGCACTGAATCTCAATCACTTCCATTGGCATACTACTGGGTACTGAGTCTATATTTTTTGAGAAAATCGACGAAAACAAACAAAACTTGTTATCCGAGGAATTAAAATCTTTAAACCTTGTTTCAAATTCCGTTCTAAGATTTCAAATTTTTTCTGCGTATTTTTGATACGATGCAGTATCCCTGGAATGGCAGGTGCCGCAAGTCAATTAGAATTTTGCATTTTCGTGCGTACAATTTAAAATGATCCGTATAGTTTATAATTAAAGTATATTATAATTTCATATGCTAGTTTCCTTTCTAATTCATATTTCTAATTTATTTTTACTTTGCGTCGGATATATTGACTGGGCCACAAAGATGTTCATCTCGGGCCGCATGCGGCCCGCGGGCAGCTAGTTTGACACTACTGTTTTAAACCATTTGATTCTTTGTATTATAGCTTTTCAAGCGATTAATGGTAAATTCTGCCGACTATTGTACTGATAGTTTGATGTAGTAATTTTATTGTTTAGATAGCAAAAAATGTGTTAATTGAATATGTAAGTTTATAGTCTAGTTACTATAGAAAAAAAGGTTATTATTTGAAAAAGATTAAAAAATGTTTTCTTCTTCTTTTGACGAAAAGGTTTCTTTGCTATTATAATTGATTAAAAAAAAAAAAAACTCTCCTACTCTTCTCTGTACGTTTACCCTTTTCTCATGGAAATGCTTGTGACTTAAAATGTGGAATTGAATTTATTCTACACAGACAAAGATGTATTGTTTTTTTATGCTTTTTGTCACGCTGAACTGTATGAGATCAATCCTGAGGCGATCGGACTAATAGTTATAAAGTTATATGGGTTTTAAGTACAAAAAGTACAAATTGGTACTTGTACCTATTTACGCATCTAATATTTCTATTTAAGCAATTGAGACATTATTTCCTATGTATTTTTTTACGTTAAATCGAATGAGACTATAAACGAGCCAGCAGAACGAATCATACTAAATTTGAAAGCTTTATGTATAAACAGTATTATTTTTAACTTGATTTATATACAATTTTTTCTTTGCTACCTAGTGGCTATCTAATGTCCTAATGAAATATTTAAGACTGAATTGAATGAAATAACATTCGATTTGATAGGATAAGTTTTGAAGGATTAGTTTCAGCTAATATGATTAGTTTCTACTATTAGTTTTGAAGTTATAAGGGTTACTATTAGTTTTGAAGTTATAAGTTCCCTAGTCAAGCTAATAGAATTAGTTTTGACCATTAGTTTTGAAGTTATAAGAGTTTTCTTCATGTGGAGTGTAATTCGAAAATAAGACGTTTTATGCATAAAACCAGCTTCAACTTTTAAAATACTAGACATTATGATTTGTGTTTGGCATCATTAAATCAAGTGATTAACACATAAGAAACAATATCGCAATTTTCTGTATAGGAATATAAGATGTGTAAGTAAGTGCAATCACAAAATTGTGCTTGTTGAACATAAAAACCTTATGACTTCTAAACTATTAGTCCGATCGTCTTGTGATCGGTTTAATTTAATTCAGTATAAAAATTACCCGAAGTCTTTTCATAACAATATAAAAAGCGTTCATAAGTCATGTCAAAAATATTACTTTTTATACATAATAACACTTGCAACTCCTGAACTATACGTTTTGTTGACTCGTGTATAGCCTTATCATTCGATATAATAACTCGATTTAATGAGATCTTACCAAAATGTTTAGAAATATGTGTTCGTGGGATTTGGAAGTGAAAGCATAATTATTCCGTTTTTTCGAGAGAATTCTACTGCTTCAATATTTTTAGTGTATTGCCCAAAATCTTACCATAGAGCCAAGATGGCTCAGGGGATAGAGGTTTCGCCTTTAAAGGAAGTGAACCGGGTTTGAATCCCAGCGATGGCTGGTCAATACGAATTCAGCACTCAGATCGCACCGACCACAGTGGTGACGTAAAGTATCTTCAGTGGTAGATGGATTATGGGTTAGAGTTCTATTGCCATCAAGCTAACCTAGGGATGTTTTCGTGGTTTTCTTCTTTATGTAACGCAAATGCGCGTTAGTTCCTTCAAAAAGTCCTCTACGAAGGCAAATTTCTCCGAATACCATATCCCAGAGTTCCCTTGTCTCCTGAATTGGGTTAAAAGTTACAAGGCTGGGGTGCTGAACATTATTAGTCGTAAAACCAAAATTGGGTCAGCTGTTCAAGAAGGGTTATGAAAAAAAAAAGAAAAAAAAAGAGGAAGCTTACAGAGAAGAGTTGGAGAGCTTTCAGAACAAGACATAGAGTCTTATGAAAAAAACGAAAACTTTAATTATGTTACTGTTGTTCTAGCAAAGTTGTTATTTTTTCTTTAACGAGTGCTACATAGTTTAAAAAAGCACTTCAATAGATCATCCTAGTTAATCTGCATGCTTGATGGATAATCTGCAGATTAACTGATTGTAACTAACTGATTAACTGATTGTAACTGATTGAACTAACACTTTAGCGGTAACATTTACAAATATCTATATTGTAAGTCAGTTTTAAATAATGAATGAGAGATCTAACATTTTGAAGAATCACTTAGATATGAAATATTATTTTTTAAATTTTTTTATAATCATAGTATTACATTATCAAATTTATTTCGCCTAAAATAATCATCTAATTATAACGCAAATATTTTTCGACATTGATTATTAATTTATGATAACATCATTAAGAACAGATGCTCTCTCTCTCTCTAAGAAACTCTCACAGTTCCTTACACTTATCGATATTTAATCTCGTGAAATAGTTGTTTATAGAGTTACGTCAAGACGTATGGTTCTAAGTGCTAGAGAGATATCAGTGTAATCTTTCAAGAAATCGTTCAGACGAGTTTAAATTTGTTCACACCCATATTTTTGGTTGAAAGAAAATTTGCTTTACGCGTTTATTGACTTGCTTTGTTAATAAGAATTACATTAATAATTGGAAATGGATAAATTTTTAAAATTTTTACTTCCAGTTTTGAAAGACGATGCTGTTTTTAAGTTTTTAAGTGAATCACATCTTTATAAAAACTATCATGAGCTCTAAACGTATCTAATCGAAATGGAATATTTCTTTTTGCGATATAGATTATATTTTCTTGCAAATGTTTCTGAAATGCTTCATAAGATGAGGAAAGTAAGGTTTATATTTTTATTTATGTATAAAAACTGAATTCTAAGTATTATTTTTTAACTTGTTACATTCTGAAACGTAACAAAATAAAAAAAATAATTAATCTGGTTTTTTCAAACAATTAATGAGGTAATATTGTAAAATATTGTAAAGGTAGTATTATATTTTTTTCCTGTTTTTTACTTCGTAGCCTTTGAAAGTATTAATTAAGCTTAAAAATATGATTTTTACACTATTTAATAATCAATTATGTCAAAAACAAAATAATGTTAAATGAAATAAGTTCTTTAATAATTATTAAAATATATTAATTAGCTGTCATTTGAATTAAATATTCATGAAAATTTTTTATACCTATTAATATGTAGCACTTAAAAACATTATTAAACAAGCAAAATTATTTTATGAAATTTATTTATCTCATTCCACATAAAATAAAAAGGAAACTATTTTGCATTAGACACAAATAATGCTTTTAATTTTTTGAATTTTTTCAATCCTTTTCATTTTTATTAATGAGATATTAGTTCTGAAATGTCCTTTGGTTTATTCAAAGCGTAGTTAATGAATTAAATGCTTTGTTTGTGAATTCACAACACTGTTGAAATGTTTTTAATTTTCTTCTCCTTTTTGTTCAGTTTTGATTTCTGCTACCAAATTTTTTCTTTCTATCTACTATTGTTTTAAGCTAATTTGTTTTCTGATTATTTGATTATAGAGAATTTGTTATTCTGCAATATTCTTTTTCAAAGTTGGTTATAATGACATTCTTGTTATTCCTTTTTCATTATAATAATAATCTTGTATGTATTCTGTTATTAAAAATTGCATTTGATAAAAAATAACCATATTTTAAGTATAAACCCTTTTGTTTGAAACAAACTGTGATAAATTAGTTAAGCTCTATGTTGTGTTCATTCGCATTAATTAATTAGCATGGAAATTAATTAATATGAAATAACGCACGAAAACGTACTTAGATTAAATTCCACTGATTTTCAGTTGAAATAACTGTATAGTTAAATAAAAAATGACCTCTAAATATCAATATAGTTAAGTCTTCTTTGATAGTTTACAAAACCTTTAGCAATATTAACAAAACTACATGATAGTTTTGTTAATATAGCTAAAGTTTTCTTTTTAAAAAGTATAATGATTACTTAGCTGGAGGTTTTTGATTTTGTTAACAGTTTGTTTTATTTCATATTTTAAGAATTATTTTAAAATTTCAGGATTTTTTTACAGCCCCTCACACCTTTAAAGTCAAGAAATATGTGCAAAGGTAAACAATGAAGATTAATTGCATATTCAGAAACCAGCATGGAACCTACTTAAAAGCCATAAAGTTCCTTCTATAACATTCATATTTAAATGTGCAAATGGTTTGTATACTATTAATTATTAAAAATAATAGATAATAAAGGAAGGTTGTTTAGATACTTATTAAAAACAATAGCAGCATTCACATCACATCGAGAAACATAACGAGTTGCAAATATTATAATAATTAACATGGCGGATCCCAATGGAAACCAATGTTTATAGGGGCGTAATTTTTATAATGATTATATGCGATAAATAAGTTAAGCTCTATGTTGTGCTCGTTTGCATTAATTAATTAACATGGAAATAATTTTATTTAAATCAATTAATATGAAATAACGTACTAAAGCGTGCTTGCATGAAATTCCATTGATTTTTAGTTGAAATAACTGTATAGTTAAATAAAAAAAGGATCTCTAAATATCAATATAGTTAAGTCGTCTGTGACAGTTTACAAAACCTTTAGCAATATTAACAAAACTACATGATAGTTTTCTTAATTAATCTAAAGATTTTTTTTAAAAAAGTATAATGATTGCTTAGTTGGAGGCTTTTGATTTTAACAGTTTGTTTTATTTCATATTTTAAGAATTATTTTAAAATTTCAGGATTTTTTCACCGTCCCTTACACCTTTAAAGTCAAGAGATATGTATAGAGGTAAACAATGAAGATTAATTTCATATTCAGAGACCAGCGTGGAACCTATCTAAAAGTCATAAAGCTCCTTCTATAACATTCATAGCTAAAGGAACAAATGGATTGTATACTATTAATTATTAAAAATATTAGATCATAAAAGAAGATTGCTTAGATACTGATTAAAAACAACAGCAACATTCACATCGCATGGAGAAACATAACGAGTTGCAAATATTATAATAATTAACATGGCGGATCCCCACGGAAACCTAGGTTTATAGGTGCGTAATTTTTCATTAACTGTGGAAATTTTCTGTAAATGTAACTAAATTGGACAAAAACATAAAAATATTCCATGTGGAAAAAAAGACATTAAAAACACATCCTTGATTAAAACTTTACTCATAAGCAATGAAGAATTTATGCTAAAATATTTCGATATATTTTTTAATATAATCAAAACTTAAAATAATAATTTTACTTTAAATAGATATTAATTAATTATAAATTAAAATTAATAGTTTGCCACAATACTAAAATTTTATAAATTACTGGCGCAATTTATTGAAATTTTGTGTTTGGGGTTGGCAGTGGGTTCTGGTTTGGCGGTTTAAATGCGTCAAATTTAGTGGAAATTACTATACTCATCTATCCCTCTGGTAAGTTCCCTTTTAAAGAATACTCCTGTAATTAAGAATACTCTTGTAATTAATTAATGTGTGCAAATTTATAAATTACATCATTAATTAAAATATATATCTTGAATTGTATCTTTTATTGCATAAAAACAAACAATTATTATGCGTATTATACTGGCTCTTATGAGCAATCTTTTGATTGCGTCATTGTAATTAATTTTACATGCATCCATTTTACATGTCAAATCTGTAAATAATCATAATTCTAATATTTTTAAAATCACATTCGTGAATACATCAAGAAAATTACAGTTAAGTTTTATTGCTTGAACAGTTGAAAACAACTCACGTTTCAACACGTTAAAAACACTACACTAAAAGCAACTTAAGTTTTAAGTTTTACTTAATAAATGAGTATTTCAGAATTTTTCATACTTTATGCTTATGTTAATTAATTCATTGTCTTTCTTTTAAATCTTTAGATATATGTTTTTCGTAATGTGTTTGAAAAAATAAGTTTTACGAAATTTAGTATAAGCACTGTATAACTTAACATTCTTATTTCTAAATGTGTTATTGCTTGTAATAGTTGGTTGGAGGGATTATTTTCATTCATTTCATGAATTGTTGAATGCATTTAGTTTAATAACTTTTAATAAGAAATTTTTTAATATTTATTTCAATAAGATTTTATAAAATTTTGAAGATTTTTTTAATATAACTTTTTTTAAACATTAATAATAATGATAAATTTTTAAGTTGGTAAGGAATTTCTTAAAAATCCTAATCTGGAAAATACAAAATTATAATTTAAATACTTTGCTAGCAAATGAGATATTAAGATTTTCTTTAAGGTCTTGTTGTTAAGTTTTTCACGTAATATTGTAATTTTCACAGTTATTATTTTAAAGTAATACTTAAATGGCAGTTATTTGCAGAAAAGATATTTAATTGCAAAACGTTTGAAAAGCTGTCATTAATCGTCAATTTTTTTTAAATGTAGTCACACATGTAACACTTTAATGTTATATATTTGAACAGCATAAATCAGCAAATAATTATTTTACGGAATATGACAATTGTTTGAAACTTTCATTAATATAGTGACATTTTTCTTTTTAAATATGCATTTAAAAAAGTTTACAAAAAGTTTAATTTTGGAGTATGAGTTTTAAACAGTATTATTTCCTACATGTCAGTTGACCTGATCTTCCCTCCTTTTAAACCATATTCAGTAGTTAAAAATAAAATATGTATTTATACATATTTTAAACTAAAATAAATATGCATACATGTCACGTGCAATCGCATGTTTTTAAATTAATTGAATTAACAATTTAAAACTTTGAAATATTTTTGTAGAAATGGTGTGTTTTAGTTTTAATTTCAGATTCAATTTCACATAATAGATTCTTATAAATTTTAAAAATTTTGAGCAGTTCATATCAGTTTTTTGAAACTAATATTTACTCTTAAATATTAGACCATGTTTATGGAAATTGATCATATTTGCATCAAGTGATTTGTTTTCTTTTGCATTTGTATTTATTTTATCCACTAATATGCCTCATGTTATTAAATTTTATTTTATTTTTTCAGAAACTGAGAAAGAAAATTTTTCAGAAAAATGTCTTCAGGAGATGAGATGGATGTAGATTCTGTAAGTTGCTTTGTAGATGTAATATTATTAAATATTATTAATTTACACTTTAAAAATTATTTTATTTCCCATGCGATTTGAAAATCCTCTGTGCTTGTATTTTATTAATCAGTAAATACCATGTTAGTTTCTCCAGGCATTTTATTGCAAAAATTAATTTGTTGCTGAATTGTGCTGTCTTAAAGTTCTTTAAAATGCATTTTGGTTTGCATTTTATCATTTTTTAAAAATGTACTGTTCATATTTTAAGTTTCATTTATTTAAAACTGGTAGAAAGTAATGCGTTAAATCAAATTGACAAACTGACATTGCTTTTATAAGCTTAAAAAACCTAAAAAAGAACTCATGCATTACATAATGTGACACATTGGGTATATTATACTGTGTTTTACTAGATATATTTGGTAAAAAAACAAAGTTTTTGCTTTGTGTAAAATAAGCATGCTTTAAATTTCAAGAAAGAAATTATACTAAACTTACTACTGGGTTATTAAAGAACTGACAGAACTATACTATTTTAATATTAATAACATCTGGAATAAATGTGCACTCGTCTTGTCTTGACAAAATGGATTCTGAAACTTTAAAGAAAAAAAAGTAAAATTTAAACATGCAAAGGATAATTGACGAAACTCTTTGTACTTAAGCAAATTTTATAGAAAAAAAAACTTAAAAATAAGTTGCCATAAATTCAAGCTTTGTTAAGAATTTTGTCCTAAAATGTAAATCAGCAGCTATTGATATGCTTCTGAAAAAGTTTTTGTTTTCTTGAAGAATATTTATTTAAAATGCTACTTCAAGCTAAACCGTTTAGAATAAATGCAGTTTATCTTAATATAATTTATAATACAATTATAATTTAAATTAAAAAAAAATTTTAGGAAGGAAAATGTTGAATTCAAACAGGAATTAGAACAATAAAAATATGCCATTTTTTCTCTTTTGTATTGAATTATGTGTTCCCAGTTTATATCATTAAGACTTTGCTGCCACTTTAATAATTTAGGCTTCTATAGGTCCCCAATTGAAAACAGGAACTTTCAACTATTAAAAAGTTAGAAGTAACTGAAAACAGAGGGACAACTTTTTCTCCTTTTAATTTTTAGCAAAAATTTTTTTCTTCTTTTACCCTCACTTGTTTAATTGATGTTTTGTTTCAGTACAGCAAATAAGAGTAAACGGAATAAAAACACAAACAATAGTAATAATTTTAATGATGAAAATTCTGCTATGCTCAAACTCATGGCCAGTGTTATGTAATAAAAATTAAAGTAGTATATATACATATATATATATATAATTGCTTGTAATAGTTGGTTGG